TGGGCGCTGCCGGCTCCTGGGTGCGTGGCATATGGGTGTCCCTGCCCCTGGGCACACGGCTCAGGAGTGGCGCCAGCCCCAGGCGTGCGGCGCATGGGCACTGCCGGCTCCTGAGTGTGTGGCACAGAAGCGGCGCCGGCCCCGGGAGTGCGGCGCATGGGTGGCGTCAGCACGGGGCATGTGCCGTATGGGTGGCCCCGCCCCTGGGCATGTGTGGGGCTCTGCCCCCGGGTGCCTGGCCCGTGAGTGGCCCCGCCCCTGGGCACCCACTAGGCCCAAAAGGTTGGGGACCACTGCCCCAGAGGGAGGGAACACAACAGGGAATCCTTGTTTGATCCCTCTCTCATCCTCCATTTCCAAACAAACAGAGTCCAGGGACACCATCTCTACCCACCCTGGCTCATGGCTATTGATGGACCTAACTTCCATGACTATATCTCGCTTTTTTTTTTTTTTTTTGAACCCTATTAAAGTTCTGGCCTTCACACCATCCTCTGGCGAGGAGTTCCACAGGTGGACTGTGTGCTATGTGAAGAAAAACTTCCTTTGGGTTGTTTTAAACCTGCTGCCTCTTCAGTTCAGTGGGTGGCCCCTAGTTCTTAAATTATGGGAACAAACAAATAACTTTTTCTTAATTTACTTTTTCCACACCAGTCGTGATTTTATAGACCTCTATCCTATCAGATATACTTGATAATAAGAGTACAGTGGGTGCTGCGGTTCCCTCCCTGCGGCCCAGGGAGACCTGGCCTCCTGGGGCCAGCGCGTAAGCGCAGTGCTGGTCACGAGGTGCTTGGAGTGGTGGGAACAGGCGCCGGCTACGTTGCTGGCGCTGGGCCGGTGGCTCCGACGTCTCTGCTGAGTGGTTGTGTTTCCCCCCCACCCCGGCAGATGTGAACACGGAGAACCCGGACGAGAAGTCCATCATCACCTACGTGGTCTCTTTCTACCACTACTTCTCCAAAATGAAGGCCCTCGCCGTGGAGGGGAAGAGGATTGGGAAGGTGGGTGTCTGGGGGCGGGCGCTGGGGGCAGCCTTACCATGGGCCACGCTGGGGACCACAGCGGGCCCTGGTCTGTTTCCGGGGCAACAGCATCTCTGGTGAGATGGTAAACAAGGGCCAGGCCTCGCCCTGCAATAGCGCCCTGGGTTTGGCCGTTGGCTTCCTGGCGCGCTGCCTCGTTCTCTGGTGGCAGAGCGGGACTGGGGCTCCCCGGCGCAGGCTGTGTCCCGGAGCCACGGGGTGGAGGGCCAGCAGTTCTAGGGTTGCCAGAAAGTTTTAAAAAAGGACAAAAATGTGATAAACATTTGTTGAGCAAAAAAACCCGAAACGCTGGGGAGTAACCAGGGAGGCCTTGGAGGGGATTCGGGAGGTTGGGCCGAAATTGCCCTTTAATTGCTGCATGTCCCGAGCGGGCTTCCGTCGGGTGCCAAGCCGGGCCCAGGAAAAGCAGAAAAACGTACTCAATTCATGATGTGTCCGGTAGTTTCTCAATGTGTTTACCGGACACACAGTCCAAATACCGGACTGTCCGGTTCAATACCGGACGCCTGGCAGCCCTACGGCTCGCTGAGCGAGGGGACGTGTCCAGAGCCCCCGGCTGGTGGCTTAATTTGTTACCGGGAAGGGGGTGTAATGAGCGGATTTCTGGGGGCACTGCTGAGAGGGTCCAGTCAGGGAGAATTGCTCAGAGACGGGGCTACGATAACACCCCAAAACAGGCACATCCGTTCCCCACACTGGCCAGCCAGGAGTCCCACAAGCGACCCCCTTAGACACCCCAGTTCTGGGCCCCGACCAGCCCTTCCCCGTACCCGGGGGAGCGGTTCCAAACCCGTCTCCCCCCTCGGAACAGGTCCTCCCGGTCCTTCCAGCTCGATTCATGCCTCCGACGGTCCCCAAAAGAGCTCGCGGGGTCCGGCCTTTAGCCCCTCACGTCGCAAGGTCGATGGCTGAGAGACAGAAAGTTGAGAAGACACTTGTGAGAGGCATCCAATGCCCCCCCAGCGCACGGTTCCTGGGGCAGGAGAAAAGGGCAGGCGGGCACGTGGCCAGCTGCGATGGGGGGGGGCGGGCGGGG